CACAGAGGCACTCGATACGTGACTGGACCTGCTCTCGGGCTTTTCCACTACATCACCACTACGACTATCGGAAGATGGTATGCGATGTCTTCTCTACTGTACACTGATCCCTAGACATTCCGAGGATTAGCAGATGGAATAGTGATCGGGTTCTTGGCTCGATAAAGCACAGGAACTACCTTGGCAGTAGCGACAGGATTGAGCTGACCAAGGTCCCATAAGACAAGCCTCCCTAGGGAGGAGCCCGACATTAGATACTTACTCTCCTCTTTACCGAAGCCCACACAGGTAACCTGAGTGGTTGAATGGCTGGATGAGGATGAGGGTTATTACCTCTCCTGTGATACTGGACTGGATTAGGGATGCATCCAACGAGCGGGAGTCGATGCGCCATAGCTTACCGTTAGCTGATGTGGCGAGGAGGTCCTTACCAGAGGGCGATGGGGTGAGGCAAAGAATATCAGAACCTGAGCATGCCGCAACACGAGTGCACCCCCACCTAATGTGATCAAACTACGGTAGCCGGAGTGTGATGGTACCTGTCCCGACTACTGGATCTACTGCGTTCTCAGCCATAACATGCCACTGAGCATCCGACCCTTCAAACGATCGTATCTACCGTTATGTCATCAGAGTCCAACCTACTCCTAGAGCAGCAACTCACCTTTCCATCACCTCCCGCTACATAGAGCGACCCTCCAATCACAGCCAGGGCCCTCACCGTACCGTTACAGCAAGGCATACTAGCACGGTATACCTGATGCAAACCGGCTATGGTGAAGCAGCAGCAGGAGGTGGTGTTGGCAATGGCTACCATAGTATCCAGGTTGAAGATGCAGAGCTCTCCCTGTTGTGTTCCTGTGACCAGCTGAGAGGAGATTATCACACCACACGTGTAGTTACGCAGTAAGGTATGACCTGACAGCATACAGCTGATGATGGAGTAGTAGATGGCACTCCCCACCACCAGGCATCTGCATCTTATCGCTGCTGCTCATCACATACCCCATTTGGGAGATATCGAACTCTATTGTGTGTTTCATAACTAGACTGTCCTGTGCTGTACACAGTATGTACTTGGCTTGCTTCTGCCTGCCATACTACCACTACTTCTGATGATGATAAAGACTTGCAAGCGGTAAGCACGTCAGTTTGTGAATCATTCTCTCGTATGACTACGATGATGCCTTACTGAGCCCTCACGACTCGGGAAGGGCGGTGCTGTGCGTCGGGCTGATCGTTAGTAGTGTGTGGAAGAAGGTGCAGGGCCAGAATCGTACACAGCTGTTCTGTACGACGTGCATAGATCTGAATGCCCGACAGCAGGTGGTTGACGGACCAGGCCATTCTTGGCGACCTGCTCTCCCCCAGTGGACACGTCCCATACTATAAGCATTTGGTTCAGGCCTGCTGCGGCGAGGAACCTCCCATCAGCACTCAAGCGAGGCCAGTGCATCTGCACTATGCTGTCACTAGACTCACACTAGAGTACCCACTTGCCACAGATCCCGGGTAGGGTAAGGATATCTTCCTTGTCCAATACCGACCACACCTTAACTGCTGCTACTTGGCCCTGAGTCCATACGATAGCCCGACAGGAGCGCATCATGCTCACAGACCTTCTGTGTTCGGACCCTAGTTGACCACTAGCGATGTACTTGCCATTACTGCA